CGGTCAGTCTGTCTCGGTCTGTCTGTTTCGGTCAGTCTGTCTCGGTCGGTCTGTCTCGGTCGATCTGTCTCGGTCCGCTTGTCTTCTGTCTTGGTCTGCCCATCTTGGTCTGTCAGTGTGTGTCTCGCTCGGGCAGGACACGCGGACGAACGCGCCCACGATGTCCCCCGGCTTGCACATACGTCCGCGATGTCGATAATGCGATCGCCACTGGCCAACATAGTCGGCGTCGCCGTCGTGTACTCCAAAGCAATTTTCAATTTATATTAATTTTCAAAAATGCCGCAAAGCATAGCATTTCTGAAGCAAACACCCCCCCAAGCTAAAGCTTAAGATTTAATCTAGCATATTTCTTGCGACTTCTTGAGATTGCCCTCGGCACCTTCGGCGCGGTCGGATTACAGGAATTCTTCAAGTATGTATGATATCTTCCAGCCATGAGCAGCAATCCAGATCTTCATTTCCTACCGCGCGCATTTGGAACGAATGGCTTCCTTTCAGAGGTGCCTCCGTTTGTTCACAAATCTCTTTTTGCCAACCTCTTCCACTGTCAGGTGGCTACTTTTGCCCGAGGCAAGACTTTTTTGTTGCCGCGTGGGGAGGATGCCAGCGGGAGAGGGGTGATGCGAAGGTGGAGGCCACGCAGGGTTCCAACTCCCAGTAGTCAGTGGACCCCTTTTTGGAGGCTTGACAAGATGATTCCCAGCAACTGGAAGGGCAATTTTGATAATTCCATTCAAGTGTCGTGCCAGTGTTTTGGGTTGGAAGGGTTGGGTTTCGGTGGATTGTTTTAGCCATCCAATGTGCTGACTTGGCTGCGGTTATGATGGAGAAAGGGGGGAACATTGAACAAAAAACATCTTCATGTTTGTTTCTGCCCTTGCGGATTTTAGACGATGAATGGTGGGACAACAAATTCAAGGAATATTTCTTTTTGATACTTCGGTTTCAGGGCTAGACTTTGTTAAGCGTCGTTGTCCCATTAAAGGAAGGCGTTGCAAGAGTTCCGCGCCTGTGAGTTGAAATCATAAAGAGCCGGACTGTAAGACTGTTTAATTTGTCTTCTTGTTTATGGATTCAGGAAAATTCTGCATTAGATGAGCAACAATGAGTGCATGCTGTGATAAGAATATTTGTTCCAGGTCCCTGTCCGTCTCCACGGCGAATAAAACTTTTGCTTGTCTTTGTAGCGTATGCCTAACGATAAAATTGAGATCATAAATGTAATATTTAGAAGGTCTGGCGCAAAATACATTGGCATTTGGAGGAAGCACGCTTATTTATATATAGTAGTATATAATAGAATCTAAAAGACAATAAGCTTGATGGTAGATGCGCACAGTAGAAGCCATTGAAAGCACAACATTGAAATCGCCACATAAAAACAGGCAGTTGAGCTGGCAACGTGGGTTGTGACAAAAGGATCCGTGCCTTCTAAAGTTCCAGGCCGTCCTGGTCTCCATGCTGCTGGCCCGAAGGGCACCGGGACTTTCATCTGCTGTCTACTGTGCTGCGCTTGCAGAAGGAGAGCAGCTGGGCTTCAAGGATTTTCGACTCTAAAGCACGCTATCTAAGCTCAAAGGACAGCGGTCTTCAATATTCAATCTCTCAGGTCCTACTTGGCTGGTTGAGTTCTATGCCCTAGGAGAAAAGGTCTTGGGAAGTCCATTTTTTGAAGACGGTTCTTGCACCAAATAGAACCTCCCCACGTCACTTCGCTAAATTTTTGAGGTTAAAACAATCCACAGACTTGTGTTTACACTTCGGAGTACCCATGGGACCTCGAAAATGAAACCAACTGCTGGTTGTTAGTGAATCTCCATTTAGGGGTGCCTGGATAGCCCCTTTATACTATCATTGACCAGGTGGGACCTACAGCCAGGGCACCCTCCTAGAAGGGAACCAAATGAAACCACATCAGTTTGGAGGATCTTGTGACATCCCGGCTTTTGACTCCAGCTACACCAAGTTGCTTTCTTCAGCAACCTTCCCTCACATGGCGATTGGCATGAGAAAGCAGTCCCAGCAAGACTTCTTGAAACATTCTTCATGCAAAGCCCAGTTCAGCGGCCAACGGATGTATTCTTTTTGAACAGATCAATCAGGTCAGCTTGGCTGCACTTGGACCTGAACGAGGAGTCGCACACCTGCAGCCCTCACTACAGACTTACTTGGATTCCGGGCACGTTGCAAACCTGAGCAGAATTTGTGGATCTGCTTTTGCAAGCAACGTCTCCAGCCGTTTCGAAAAAGCTGGAGACTCATGTGTGGCCTTGAGCCTAGTGAGCTCGTGAAACAGCGGCCTGAGTGAGGCAAATGGCCAGACACCCATTTCCTTGAGTGCTTGATTTGACTCCAGAGCACTTGGCACTTTGGAAGGCAAGTTTGACTATACTGCCCACCAGTGATATCGGAGTATTTGGAAGTATCGGCAAGTGTTTGGTATCGGACCCTTTGGAGGTTCCTCGAATGGCAGAAACGCACAGAAAACATTCATGAGCTAGGAACTTCTGGCAGATGAAGATACCTTTCACCTGCGGAATATATTTTTCTAATTACATCTTTTCACCTGCGCTTTCTTGGTGTCCAATGTTGGACACTGTCCAATTTCAGATTAAGCAATCAGACCCAGCCAGTAGAGTTCCTTGTTTTCCACGCTTCTCCGCTAGGTGCGATTTCTCAAAAGCCTCAACAGGTGTCGCAGATGAGTAGCCCCATAGTGCCAACGACAAGCACATTTTTGACAGTGGTGACCATGGGGTCGGTGAAGAAGGTAAACGCACCCTGGCAGAGTTTTGTGTTGTTCCAGGTGTTTGCCAGGGAGCTGCGGTGACATGCCTGGCATGACCACATCGCAGAAAGACAAATCGCTCACCGAATTCCCGGAGCGAAGACAAGGAGTGGCAATGAGACCAAAGGGGCCCTGTGCTTAGCTGCTCCGTCACACACATGCTGGCACACGCGTGCTGGCACACATGCCAATGCATGGTGACGCTTCAACACGGTATGGCATGCATTTTGGCGGGATGAAAAATGCGTCGGCGCTTTTGCGTCGGCGGGGAAGGGTAGCTGTGAAGGTTTGGTCGATGTTGTGTGCATCCACAGAACCTGCGGATGCATTTTTTTGGGCCTGTAGAATGCATCAGCCAAAGCTGCTTTTGCCACGTGCATTTTTGGTGCTTTGGAAACGCCTTGGAATTCGTGTTTGGGAACGCATCCGAATGGTTGTCGTTGTGGATAGGGATTAGGGTCCTTGAAGGCTGCGTTGCAAAACTGTATGCTGGCACGCAGCGTTGCGCGTGCTGCTTGCTGAGGCTGCTAAGGCCCTGAGAACTGTCATGTGAGGAGCTGGAAGAGCTTGGAACTTCTGGCAGATGGTTGATTGTTCCTGTGCCAGGTACCTTTTTGCAACTCGACCAAGCTTGCTTGAAAACATGTGGGACACCTTCCAACTTCAAATTACAGTAACTGACCAGGAGTTAGAATATAAAATCAATTAAAAACATGAATTAGGATCTGTTTCATTGAGGCAGACCTGGTAAAAATAGCACATAGAATACAATGCAGTTAGAATATGGTGGAGCAGCCATTGAATCAACACCATTGATCTTTATCACTTCCATTTGTAACTTTACTACAGTAAGCAAAGCGTGCATTCTCTTTGGCATCCATTATCTGTTGGCACCTCCTCATTAAAGAAAGAATCATTGAGGAGTCAAGGAGCTAAGATGTATCACTTTTGTTTTGCCTCTTGTATATTCTAAGTGCATTGGTGTAGATTCTAAGTGCATGGAAGCTCGGAATTACATTTTTATATTCTAACTACATTCCTAATTCCTTATGTTGAATTCTAACAGCCAGTCACAAACAGTAAGCAATCTGCCCAGCCAGTACAGTTCCTGGTTTTCAACGCTTCTCCGGGAGGTGCGATTCCTCAGGGAGCTGCGGTGACGTGACCACCGCATCGCAGAAAGACAAATCGCCTACCGAAGATCCATGCCGTACGATCGGGGGGCGGGTGGAGCCAAGACAAGGAGTGGCAATGAGGCCAAAGAGGCCCTGAGACATGTCATTTAAGGATGTCCATCAACTCTGATAGTTTCTTTGGCCAAAAATCCATGCTGAGCTGGACAAGACCTGCCAGTTGGTTCCTCACACCCTGAATCCTCCTCCTAGCGGAGGAATGAAGTAGCTGAATGTCTTGTATACTTCACATGATGCTTCAAAGCAGTGAGTTGAAGCTTGTTCGGTATGTAGAAGAGCTTGCAATCAATTTCAGCAGAAGCTGATTTGTTTCGGAAGTTGGGACACTTTGCACCCAAAGCACGCAAGGCGTTTCCTCTTTGAGGACCAGACCTGTTTGAAGGAGCTGTGCTGCCCTTGTGAGCCAAAGCAGTAAAGAAGGAGAAAGAGGTCACGATGGTCACTAGGAGCAAGCTGAACCCAACCTCCTGACTTTGGTCATTGCGTAAGAGGCCAGTCACTGGACAGTCATTGTGCAAGCCCAAAAGTGGGCCGTCTAAACTACCGGCCTCTTATGTCATGTGGGCTTGTCTTTTTTTAAGGCGTCCAGTTTATGTAGGGCTGGGATGTTCGAATTAGGCGAAGCATACCCCGAAGCATACCCCAGAAGCGTACCCTACTTTAGTCTTCACACTGCGCGAAGCATACCCCGAAGCATACCCCCGAAGCATACCTCCGCAGCATACCCCATAGTCAAACATCCCGGCCCGGGAACCTTAAAAAAATACAAACCCATGTAAGGATGTCCATCAACTCTGATAGTTTCTTTGGCCAAAAATCCATGCTGAGCTGGACAAGACCTGGCAGTTGGTTCCTCACACCCTGTAGCGGAGGAATGAAGTAGCTGAATGTCTTGTATACTTCACATGATGCTTCAAAGCAGTGAGTTGACGCTTGTCTGGTATGTAGAACAGCTTGCAATGAAGTCAGCAGAAGCTGATTTGTTTCGGAAGTTGGGACACTTTGCACCCAAAGCACGCAAGGCGTTTCCTCTTTGAGGACCAGACCTGTTTGAAGGAGCTTTGCTGCTCTTGTGAGCCAAAGGAGTAAAGAAAGAGAAAGAGGTCACGATGGTCACTAGGAGCAAGCTGAACCCAGTCTCCTGACTTTTGTCATTTGCGTAAGAGGCCAATCATTGGACAGTCATTGTGCAAGTCCAAAAGTGGGCCGTCTAAACTACCGGCCTCTTTGTTGATTTAAAAACGGCCCACCGGATGTGACTCTGTAATGCCTGCGTACTGTGGTTCTGTGGTCGCGAAGGGTATCAGGCAGCTTGAGTGTGGACTGAGCAATTACTAGCTACTCGGCTTCTCAGCAGATTTAGATGCAACCTGCAGACATTGACTAGCATTGATTGACGCACCGTTGAGGCTTCTTCCCTCCCATCAACCCCTCACAAAAGAAATACATTTCGCCATCAACCACCATTCCGAGCGCATTTTTGGTTCACATCTGGAGGGCCATTCTGGAAGGATACAACCTGCACAAAACCACTAGGAAGGACTCCCCTCTCCCTACAATCCCGGAATCCTAGCTCTTCAGTTTTCCAGTTTGCTAGTCCGGTCCCAAGAAGTGTGACACTCGCTGGGCCCTCCCGCTGCTCGCCACCGCCTTCTCACTAGTGCTTTGTCTTCGATCTTCAGAGCGCAGGTTGGTTGGGACAAGGCAGACAAGAACAGCAAAGTGCATTGACGACCAGCCCACTTAGCAAGATCCAGCGCACTTAGCCCACTCCGTTTTTCTTTCAATGTCACCAACACCTCATTTCCTCCACAATCCTGTACCCTACTGGCCCTACTAAGTTGCTTGGCAGAGGTCCAGACCGGCGCATTTTTGACAATGGTAACCATGGGGTCAGTGAAGAAGGTGAACACATCCTGGCAGAGTTTTGTGTTCTTCTTCCAGGTGTTTGCCAGGGAGCTGCGGTGACATGACCATCACATTGCAGATTTAAATCGCCTACCGAATTCCCATGCCATACGATCGGGGGGCGGGTGGAGCCAAAACAAGGAGTGGCATTGAGGCTAAAGACCGCCATTTTCCAGATTCCACGAATTCCGTGAAGAGTGCTGCTGGCAGTTCGGTGTCTCCAGTGTGATCGAATCGCTCGGAAGGGGCGGGTTTGGTTCCTTAAGGAATTGCTCTTTTGCTTGGGATATGGACCTTGAGCTTGACAATCTCTTTTGATTTGTTATGCCGACTTGGCTAATCCCGCGGCGTTAAAACCAGGAGCCCCGACACCATGTAATAGCTTTGACCCCAGGTAGGTCAACCAAGGTATCTTGATGCCATGACCCACAACCATATGTGCGCCTGGATCACCCAAAGTGAACGGAGACACCGGGATTTTGCGCACAAGTGCGGTGGCTTGCCGTGGCTGGGGGCCGTATGCTTGATAGAGAAGGGCGCAGCGGTAGAGGCATGGAGGCACCCTGCTTCCTAACATCTTTGCCCCATGGTCGCTGGCCACTGGGCACCTCCACATTGTCAGCCACAGGGCTTTGTACATTGTCCAACTAGGTTCTACACGGAGCAGTGCTGGGAGATTTGCATGCCTTTGGACACGTGCAGACTTGGTGCGAGACTTGCTGCAAGTGATCTTTCATTTAGCTCCTCAGACGATGGCTTCGCCAAGCTCTTGTCCATCCTAGCCTTCTTTGCTTCAGTTGAGACTCGCGTAAGTGTACGACTTATCCCCGAAATCCTCGACCCAGACCGATCTCCTTCGTCGTCCGCTCCGTGCTGGTGATGGAATTTCTGGTTGCGAGATCGCGGCGCTCTGTGGGAATGGCCCCCCTGGTGGCAGCAAGCGATGTGGGCAAAATATCTCCCAGAGGTGTGGACATTTGGTCGATAGACCATGAGTCCATGAGGTCATAGACACTTGCACGATGTTGGTGTTGTGTGTGGACAGTCAGGTTTGAACCTTTTCTGTCTCAAGGCTCCTGTGAATATTCTGAGACAAACCAATGAACCTGGAACATCAGTCACAAGGCCAGTGTTTGTAAAAAGGTCAATGTTCTCTGCTTGGAGTTGAAGTGGGAAGCCGGCTGATGACGACCCTAAAACTGTCAGGAAAATGTTGCGCCTTGGAAGCGGACGTGGAAGTCCAGGGGCAAGCCCAGAGGTTGCAGTGATGGAGGTGCTTGGGCTTTTTTGCCTCTTGAGCTGCAGTATCAGAGGAGCAGGTAGACAAAGGCTGCAGACTCTGCAGACTTATGTTTTGTGGCCACGGCTGGTCTGCGAGCGTTCGGTGAGACCAAAGAGTTCACAGCGGCCTCAATCTTTGTTGTAGCGGTTCTTCTTCAGACTGCGTGAGTGCAAGTTTGGCCCACCTTCGAGTGGAGGTTAGCTGTTCTTGTTCAGACCTCGTGTATCCTTCATGTGGCTCTGATACCAGTGTTTTAGGTTCAGCTTCACACTCGTGGCGTGTCTGAGATGAGGAAGAGCTGTAACTCGTGGTGTGGGTTGGCCCGGTTTGCCGAGTGATCTCGTCTGGACAAGCTCACACATTTCTGTTCGGCGTTGCAAGTCACACGCAATCTGGACGCTGAAGTTGTGACTCCCCACTTCAGCTTTGAGATGATTTGAGCATTGAAAGCAAGACCAAAATTGTTTGGTGATTTCCACAAGGTCGTTTTTTTGACTGGGCGGCGAAAAGCCATTCCACATTTGGAAGCCCAAAAGCGCGAGCTGGCTGCTACATCTTCAATCCTGCCAGGAGCAAGTGTTTGGCGCTCAGACCTGTGCAAGAACTCAAAAATTGCCATCCTCTTGATTCTTGATTATATAAGTGTGTTCCACAAACACCTGAAGGTGCTGCATGTTGAGGGGAACCTTTCAACCATGCATTGAAGAGATAGCTTATGGCAGGTGGCGAGCTTTCCGATCTGGAAGACTCGGAAGGGCAGCTCCCGGTGCGCGTGGTGTGAAAGTTGATGGTGAACTTCTCGTATTGAACGACCAAGTGGTGTGTATGGGAATGTCTCAGCAACAAAGTTTCTGTGTTCCTTCCTATCTCAGAGGATACCCGTCATTTTAAACAGAAGCGGCTGTGACCAAGTCGCAGAACCGGCGGCGTCGGGCTTCCACATAGCGTGAAGAGACGATGCACAGTTTGGCTGCTAGTCCTGGGAAGAAGACCGCTGTTGTGCTCCGAGTGCAGCTGCGCTTGAAGGCTCTGGGCACCCAGCGCAACCCAGGGTAGAAATATGGTACGATCTGCGTTGTTCATGTGACACTTCTCTCTTACCCCTACGTGCTGAACTCCTGGCCAGCGAAGTTCGGTTCCATCCCTGTTGCGCAGACAGGAGCTGAAGGCTTCAAACAAGCAGACATATCCTTGGACAAGCAAAAGTTGAACGTGTGTGGATTGACGCGCCCAACTTTGCAGTTAGGCATATTTTGCCGTGTTATTCTTCCATGCTGATCTCGTCTCACACATGTCGCAAGCAGTTCCAATACTCTTCTCTTACAGTATCGCGATGTAGAGTGACCTTTTCAGAAGATTCTTATTGTTTGTCTTTTGTTTGCGAGGGTACTTGTGCATCAATTTCTCGCTGTACTGCCAAGGATGCGGGCCAGGAAGGAACCCCTGATGAATTTGCCCAGCTTTTGTTTTCACAACATGCTTGCAGTAAGAAAGCAGAGCCTTAAAAGGTTGGTAGCTGTGGGCCGCAGCAACTTCTGACAGTTCCTTGGAATGCCTTTGCGCTTTGCTAAGAAGTGCTGCGGAAGTAGTAGCTGCCTGGCGACAGCTCGATTATTTGATGGCTTGGCTGCCACTCCTGGAAAGAAGACCACCTTTGCTCCCTCTTCCATGCTCTTTATGTTGTGCTCCGAGTGCAGCTGCGCTTGAAAGCTCATGGCGCCCAGCGCAACCCAGCGTAGAAATGTGGTGCGATTTGTATTGTTCATGTGAAACTTGTCTCTTAACCCCACCTGCTGAACTCCTGCCCAGCGAAGTTCGACTCCATCCCTGTTGCACAGACACAGCCAGAGTCGCTAACCAAGAGTTGAACAGCGTTGGATTGACGCGCGCAACTTTTGCAGTTGGGCATATCTCCCTGTGTTATTCTTCCACATGTTGCAGGCAGTTGCCACAGGCTCTGGACAAATCCCCCGCACTCCTCTGGGCGGCAATTGGTTTTAAAGCCGCGCAGAGTTGGAGGAGGAACTTGAGAAACAACAGCCCTTGCACTGCCCTGTCAGCTTTCCGCTGGCCTTCCAATAGACCAACCATGGTGAAAATCTGTGAGGGGCGACGGTCGACTGTTCGGGGTTCATGTGTGGGTCCATTTCGGTTTTATCTCAAACTCAGGTGGCTCCCTTCAGATTCAGCATAAGAGAACAGCGATCTGTAAAGGCCTGTGGTTGTAGATTGTAGGGGTGTACTGGCGTGGGATTGATCTAAGAGTCTATGTGAGACCCTTTTCTCCACTTCTTTCAGGGGGTAAGGACTCTGCAGCGGAGCGGGGCATGGGCTCGATCGAAACAAAGCTTTGCGCTCAGTGCGCACCCTTTCCAATGACCTCGTCGGTCACTCCATAGCCAGGTCGTGGCGAGAGGAAGCACACAAAAAGGGGCCGGGGCACCGGGAGAAATCAGCCCAAACCACTGAACCTGACGTGTCTAGCTGGATCTGTTGCACCAGTACAAAAAACGCTCAGGTTCAGTCCCTCTCTCATGGCCATATCACCTCAACAGCCAAATGCTGTGCCTGGAGGATCACAATCTCCTCCAGACAGCTATCCATGGCTCCATGGGCTTTTGAATCGCAGTGCGACCTTCTCTTTTGTTCTTCTTTGCAGCCACGAAGTTGGGGTTGTAGGCGATCGACCAGAGCCAGGTTCGAAGAAACTTCATGAGACCAACCCTGGCCTCTCCCCGTTTCTTCGTGAGGGCATCGGCAAGGTCATAGTCCGATGTGAGCCAGCGCAGCTCACATCCAACCCTCTTGAGGTTGTCCCGAAGCTGAAATGCCTGCAACGCTGCCCTCATAATTGGATAGCCCCAGAAGTGGGCTTTCATTCAGCTCTACAGCGTCGTAGCTGCCACGGCTGTCGGTGCAGACCACGCCGCGCACCAGCTGCGCTTGCTCCTCCGCCATAGTGACCAGGTCAGCGCGGCGCTCGGGCCGAAGGAGTCCACATCCATGTAGTTCGCTCCAAAGCATGCGAACTCGGAAGTTCTGATCTTCCGCTTCCAGGATGGACTGGACCTCAGCGTCATTGCTGCCCGCTGCCTTGCGCTTCAACTTCCAGGTCCTCCAAGACAGGAGGCGCATGGGAGTCACCTTCCCAGCCAGAGCTTCTGGCGGCCTGTTCAGGTGGCTTTGGTCACCCATGGAGATGAAGACGATGTCGTTCCAACATCGAGTGCCAGGCAGGCGAAAGAACTGCAGGTTTGTGGCTTCGGATCGAACTTCTTGAATCATAAGCTGATGGAATTTCGAATAAACGAAACGCTCTCTCGAACCCGTATCGTTCTGTCGATGCCACCTTTTTGTTCTCAAGCTCTTTTGGGAGGGCACCCTCATGCCGCCGTGCGCCACGTGCGGACGGGTCTACTTCGTGGATCCGCGTGGCAGCTGCAGGGGGTGCGTTGCCCTAAGGCGGCTTTCAGGTGAGCTGAGGTTTGTCCCGATCAACGAGGTTGACGCCTCCTTGACCGTTTACTTGCTCGAGACCTGCCTCGACACGGTCGAGTACCTCAGGGACATCGCCCACGCTCAGGCGGACCGCTCCGAGCAGGAACGACAAGGTCGACCTGCCAGCGGCTTGGGGCTTACCTCCAACAGGAGGAGTGAGCGTGGTGAGAGAGACAGTCAGCACTGGGGAAACCTCAGTCACCAGCCGGCGTGCAGAGGGTGCCAGGGTAGGAGATCGAGGACGGCCAGAGAGGCCTGAGAAGTCAGAGGCAGAGAAGAGCAGAAGGAAGGAGGTGCGAGGTGATGAGGAGAGAGAGCGAAAGAGACGCAGGAGAGGCTGAAACGGACGAGGGGCTTGGCGAGTTCTCCATTGAGGACTCATTCAAATGGAGTCTGATGCAAGTTCAACCTGGTGTGGTCGCCCTCACTTCGGTGCTGGTGGATGGAGTGCCAGTAGAGGCTCCGCTCTTCATCACAAAAGGGTGGGTGGATGGAGATGGAAGCATCACGGGCGAATTCACTCCCCTAGGTACTGGAGACCCTCAAACTTCTCGCAAGTTGACTCAACTCTCAAAGAATCTGAACCTAGTTCATTTTTGTATGACCCCTGTCTGTTCGGTGCCTGGGAACTACTTGGCTCATGTTCAGAACGTTTTCTTGGTAAGGGGCAACGAGCTGAATGCGGAGACTCTTGGATACTCAGGCCAGAGGAGATGGTGGCAACTCTGCATGGAGCACTTAGGTATAGACGTCTCTACCTCCGTGGAGCAGGCCCCAGCCAAGGAGAAGAAGGCAGCAGAACCCCCCGCAAGGGGGCTTTGAGGCGTCCCACAACAGAGTCGAGAAGGAAGACCGACGATGCAGTTGGAGAGGTCCCGAGCTCAGGAGGTCATCACGATGGAGAACGATCAGGAGTCAGGTTCTCAGAGGAGGTCCCCGAGATTGGGGAGGAGCCCATGCGAGAAGGAGGAGAGAGGTCAGGCAGGAAGAGACAGAGGAGAGATTCGGACCACCGCCATGGGCGATTGGCCAGGCACCATGGGGAAGGCGCTTGGATTTTGGGCGCTACCTCAAGGCCAAAGAGCTCAGGCTCTGCAGCGGAAGGGAAGGCTCGAGCGACACCTACACGGATGACTTTAATTGGCCCTACAAGGCTGCTGGATTCAAGCCGGGAGGAGCGAAAAGGCGCTTCTACGAGTGGCAAGAAAGTGAGGAGCCCCAGAGAAGAGTTGGTCGCTGCCGCTGCCTCAGCTTCAGGAGACAGTGCGTCTGCCCTTGGGAAGAGATCCAAAGAGAAGAAGAAGAAGCGTGGCAAGGGGTCAAAGATCATCCAGGCCCTGAAGGCGGCTATTACGGGAAAGAAGAAAAAGAAAAAGAAGAAAGGAAAAGGCTCGGGAGCAGCAGGAGGAGATCCACCAGACTGCAGCGGGGGAAGCGACGACTCCGATGGCTCAGGCTCCGAGGACTCAGAGGACGAGAGCTACAGCGGCTCATCCGAGGAGAAGTTGACCCGGAAGTTCAAGGCACCGCTCAAGAGAAAGGCGGAGAGAAGACCAGGGAGCGTGGCCGAGCTACTGCTGTCTCAGATAGCTCAACAATTGCAGGAGCTGCATGTGGATCGAGAACAACTCCTTACAGCAGGCCCAAGAGTGACCAGCTATTGGCAGATCACCCTCCGCCCGCGCCACGGCGCGTTTGCGCCGGCGATGAGGGAGTTGTTTTTGCTCGCAAGCGCAATCGACAAGATCAGATCGGGTCATCTCCTTGCAGCCCTAGACTTTCTGGCAGGCCGGTTTATGGCCGTAGAATCGGCGATCTCAGAAGGGTGGACAATGGCTCGATTCCTCGAGGTATGCGAGCCAGAAGAGGAACAAGTGGCTCCGGCCGAGCTTCAACTTCAGGCCCGGCGCCACGGCCAGTTGATTGCCCGAGCTCACGGGGACGAAGGAAAAGGAAAGGGGTCAGCAGCTTCAGGCAGTGGGCGCCCTACGGAGGAGGGGGCACCCCTTGGAGATGGCAGAAGGGAGAGAAGGGCGACCGAGGCAAGAAGGGAGGAAAGGAGAAGAAGGGCGGCAAGGAGGCCAAGCAGGCAAAAGGTGGAGGAAAGGAGGGTCACAAGAC